ACTGCGGTTAGCTGAAAGCTAGTGCCGCCAAGCTACCATCTGTAGGATTATGGCTGAACGCCTCTAAGTCAGAATCCATGCTGGAATAGACGATAATCACCTTTCCCGATGTGCCGCGAATAGCGATAGGTGTCTTCTGGACACCCAACATCATACAATTGCAACGCACTTCGCTGCCTGTCAAGTACTGGCGGTGGAGAGTAGGCTGATTTGTAATTTCAAATATTGGGAAAGATAAATCCTTTGTAGACGACTTAACTACAGAAGGGTGCTACTCGCGCGCCTGTCCGACGGTCTATGTGGGGGAGGAGAGATCCTAGGTAGTGCCCCATAGCCCCTTGAATGCGATATGTGTACACCCCGTGTGTACCCGCAACGCTCTCGTCTTGATGCACATTTTGAAACGATCGGTTTGAGCACGAAGCACCAATCGATGTAAACGCGAAGGCTTGGTTGTAAGCACGAATTTGACGGCGGAACTCGGGATCTCCGTACAGCTGAAGCAGCTTCCGTGGCGCGGGGTGCAGTGGAGGCAGATTTACCCTGCCTGCGAGACAGCATGATATCGCAGACTTCCCAGGCCACTTCCAAGCATTGCAGATCGGACAAATCGCTGTAGCCGGGAGCTTGTGTCGACCATTGACGACGTCGTAGCCCGTAATCTTTGATGCGTCGAAGTCTTCGAGGGAAATAAGAGCATGTCCATGACGGGCACATTGTCGTCTAGTACGCACCCGCTCGAGCTCGTACTGACGCTCGTCTTGTGTCTGCTCAGCTCGTCGATCAGCATGCCGTTGTCGGTTTAGCTCGCGTTCAGCCACCATGCTCTGATCCGACAGGTTTGCTCGCCAATGCGCATGTTGTTGACGGTTAAGCTCGCGTGCATGCTCCTGTTGCTGTCCCGACATCTGTGCCCGTCGACTCGCATGTTGCAGGCGGTCTCGACCGCGTACGGCTTCCCGGTCTGGCTCCCTTAGCTCCGCTCTGTGTGCTGTTTGCTGCTGTCGATTCTGCTCCCGCTGCTCGTGAAGCTCTTCTCCGCGTAACTGAGCTCTTCGGGCACGTTTGCGCTCAGCGTCTTTCTTCCTCGCACGATCACGCTGAGATAGTGTCATATAAATGCGCCTGGTTCGAGCTCGCTGTGCGTCGCGTGTGCGTTCGCGATCTGCCTGAGACAGTGTCCTATTAGCTCTTTTGTCGCGAGCTCGCTGCGCAGCCGAGACCGGGACATCTTCTCGATCCGCTGATCCAGATACGACAGGTACTGTAAATAAAGCCGTATCCTCAGTTTCAGCTTGGTACGCCGCCTCCATTTCAGCCGCAAACCGGCGCTGAAGTAGCACAGGATCGGACTCTTCTGTCTTTTCCTCCCGCTCTTCAATACCGTTGGCTTGACCTTCCGTAAATTCCGTAACCGCCGTAGCTTCTTGATGCACACTGAGGGCCTTCAGCTCTTTGTTCAAGTCGTATCGTTTCTTTCTGCGCTTGGTCTGACGTCGTTTTCGTGCATCCTTTTCCTCTCGCATGGGTGTCGCGTTAATGCGCTCGTTCTCGTGCAGGGCCTCCTCGAGTTCCTCACGCGTCCTCTTTCGCTTACTCCGAACCATAGTTCTGCGAACACGTAAACGTGACGCGTTAGACAATGTCTAAGTACACCGCACGTAGCAGTAGGTTTTCATAGAGTAGTGTGTTGGAATACGCGTACTATGCGGGATTGCTTTCCCCCATCAAGGTTATCTCCGATCACTTATCCCACAGTCACGGGCCGTGAGGCCCGGAGCGGTTTTAGTTTGCAAATTGTGCAGTCGAATCTTCAGGGTTGGGCCCCCGGATAGTACTGTAGCTTGAGATGCGATATCCTTTTGCCAAAAGGCGGTCGTTAATTGCAAAGGCTGGTTATTGATAGGCTATGACAGCCCCCATCCCATCTGTCGGTTAAAAGAGGCCAGTTACGGTACCCCTCCTGACCAACTGCACGCACGCAATGTGCGTGCCCATCAATAACCATTAACGACCGGCTCAACTGGTTCGCTGTCGGGTTTGCGGTCAATGGACCAGGTGCCAAATGTGCTCTCGCGCAGAGTGAGCGGTGGGATAAAGCCCCAAGAACCCAGAGGGCTCTGGAACTAAATTCCCATAGCACGGCTACCTACTTGCAGGATAAAATCCCGCAAGTTATAAGCTACCCCCTAAGCAGCCCCAGGAACCTCGGACTATCTGTGTATGTGTGTCTTGCTAGCTACTAATGCAAACTAACATGCATACACGCAGCGTACCTTGAGTAACGTGGCGTTCCGCGGCTTCCGTTTTGAAAATGGGGGCAAAATGAAATTTGAACTGTGCATTTTAAGTACGATGTGTAGACCACATATAATATGTACACCACATATAGCAATTTTAGCCAATTGAGGCCGCCTTCGCTGCGCTCGGCAGCCAGTAGAATGCCCGCATTTGCGTTACATTTTAGAACCCTACCCTCGGACGGACTGACAGACGGACGGACAACACACTCCACTAGGGGGGTAAGACTAGCCGTTCGCCGCCGCTACGCGGCGGAGTGGCATGGTTTGTTGGAGATGAGGTGGCCGCAAATTTAAGTGCTTCTTGGTGTCGCGTGTTTTGAGAGCGTGGTTCACCCCGTAGATCTTGGCATCGTGTATTTAACCACTTGCCTAGCCAGGAAGATCACGGAAGAGCGCCGGCCACTGTAGAACATGAGATCTAACCTGTAGTACGGGGTAACGGAAGCGTTCCAAACCACGATATTATACGGGGCCGAATGAGACTACGGAAGGCACACGCTGCTTAGTGGTTAAGAGCTCTCTCTTTTGGGTTCATGTTTTTTTAGTACTGCGTATTTCGTGGCTGCTAACTATTTCCTGCTCTCAAACATTTCGTGGCTGCACCGGCTTCCTGATACACAGTATTTCGTGACCGTTCGCCTCCCATTGCTGGTTCTCTAGCCGAAGGGTGCTTTTCCGTGGTTTGGTGCCTCCACGCAGTCGTGTTGTTCCAGCACCCGTGTATCGGGCTCGTCTGGTGAGGCTTCATCGACCGCGTTATAACGCCATCGTGTAATTGCGATATGGTTTTGCTGTCTATGGTATTGTGCTCGCAGATTGCATCTGCATTGCCCATGTTAGCGTGCTCTTCAGCGGCATCGTCCTCCACAATCGTGGTCACCCCGAGCCCCCTTCCATTTCGTGGCTGGTCTGCCGTCCGTGCAATCGAATTCTAATGCGCTATTGTTCTCCGTGGCATGGTAAGCTCAGGTTCTACACTGATATAGTGCTCCGTGGCTCGGTGATTTCGCGTCTACAGCTCCTGTGGCCGCATTTCTATCATGGCTTAGTGTCTTGGCCACCGTCCAAGTCATCGTTTTATTTTGTCGTGTCGGCGCTGGTCTGCCGTCCGCTCTATTATGAGCTACCGTAGTATCGTGCTCCCTGGCTCGGTAAGATCCGGTTCTACCCTGGTATTGTGCTCAAATGCTCGGTGTTTTCACGTTTATGGTCTCCCGCGTCTTTATGTCTGGTCCGTCGACCGTGCTCCGTGCTCTACCGTGATGCTATGGGAGAATTGCTGTTAGTGCACTCTTACCGCTGCGTGCTCTTCCGTAGCCGTGCTTTTCAGCATGCTGGGGTGTTTATATATTTAGTTCCCATCCGTGGCTCGTACGCTTTCGTCCTATTCTTGACCTTCTGTCCTTTTCATGACTGCGTGTTCTTCCGTCTTTCGCGCTACGCATACAACTTTGTGGTTTGCATCGGCTAAGTCTTCTATCATCGTCCATGACCTTCCGTGCTTCGTGTTGCTCTTCTATCCCATCGTCTACATAGTGTGGGTCGGTGTTCTTTCGTGTTTCGTGTTCTTGCTGAGTCACGTGCCTCCGCGCCAGCTGAATCACAAACGCTGGTCCGATTTTGTTTGATGTACATAGCCGGAAAGTTCACACAATATGTTAAGGTCGCACACTACGTGCAAAAATACGGAAGATGATACTTTTCCCCGGAGGCAGTGTGGAGTGCAGGGGTGTAAGCCACAATAGTCATTTTTTATTTTTTCACATTATTATTAATAGTAATACAATTGTTATTTATTATAAAACGCTGATATTATAATTATGTGTACTACTACTACAACAAATAGCTGCAAGGAAAAATAGGAATTGTCTTGATAATAGTACTACTCAAAACAGCATTGTAAGCTTAATTTCTGGAAAAGTACTATGAAGCCTAAAATATCATTCTATATTCAATAGCTACTAAAGTTTCGATTGAGGCCTAAATATAAGTCACCAGGGCCTACAAAAATTTTTAACAGCTCCTACGACGATATTGTATGTGTGTGCACGTCGGCGCCTCCTATTAATGCTAATTAACGCGTGCACAGGCAGCGCCCTTCGCGTGGCCTTGCATACCGCAGCTGAAAATGAAAGCAAAATGAAATTTGAGTGGTGCATTTTAAGTACGATGTGTTGACCACATACAGTGTGTACA